AGATTTCAACGTGTGTAAGAGGTGTGAAGTTGAGTGAGAAAAGTTGCAGGAAAGTTAGATACCCAGTTGTTTGATCAAAAGCTCAGAATCCATTTCCCGTTCCAATGGTCCTCCTCTTTGAAGGGTCACATTTGGCAATTTATATGGAAGTTTTTTTAGTTCCCCATATATAGTCGAAATTCGACAAGAAAGTTCGAGACAGATATTTCCGGTGAAGAAAGGAAAAAGAGCAAATCTGAGTACACAGCTACTTTTATGGTGGTATTGGCCAATCTGTATACCTCTAATCTCAGAATTAGCTTGTATGGTGCACAAGAAGGGTTCCAAGGTAAATATAAAGATTAAGGGGGAAAGTGGACAGCCTTCTCTGGTTCCTTTTTGTATAGAGAAGGGAGAAGACTAAGAACCATTCACCAAAACTCTGGTGGAGGGTGTAGCGTAAAGCGATGAAATCCATGACAGCATCTGTGGGCCAAGACCAATATGCTCTAGAGTCTGGCACATGAACGTCCAGTTGACCCTGTTGAAGGCCGTCTCCACAGCCGTTGTGGGGCCCTCCCTCTTATCCTCTCAACAGGGCTGAATAAATGAGATTCAAGGCCTGGGTGGTTTTTGTGGGCTTCACGAGTGGGGACAAAACCAGTTTGGTCGGGGTGAATGAGGTTGATAACCTAGGAGAGAAGACAGACAAATTTTTGCAAACCATTTTATGTCCACATTAAGAAATGAGATAGGCCTATAGCTGGAGCAGGCCATGGGATCCTTCCCCGGCTTTGGGATTACAGCTATGTGAGCCATCAAAGAATCCGTGGGGATTTGTCCTTCAGAAAGGACCAAGTGCATAGTGTGCAAGAAGTGTAGGTTGAGAATTTCAGAGTAGGTTTTGTAGTACACTACAGAGAACCCAGCTGGGCCCTGGGCATTCCCACCTTGGGTAAGCTTTAGCCATTCAGCAGGCTTCAGCAATATCCAAAGATGTGTAGAATCCAACTGGAAGATTTTTTAGTGGCAATGAAGGTTCTGGATTTTTGCCAATGAACAGCGTTGGCCAGTGATTAGCTGCATTGATTACCTTATTCATAAAATGCCCTCTACATTTAGCCAAGGCGGACTAAGCCTTAGCTAGACAGAGAACAGTGGGGACTCACAATGAAGGGACAGTTGGGAGGCGGAGTCCAGGTCCAACCTGCATTTATGCGTGGTCTTCAAAGCATTATTTGAGAGCATGAGGCATTTTGCTGTGGTTGCTGACATTTCATATGCGACCCCAGTTTAATGAACGTACCCCTGATATAGGCTTTATGAGCTTCCCACACCACATAAAGAGAACAGTCAGGAGTAGAGTTCAAGTAAAAGTAGACACGTAGGTTCGCTTCCATAGTGGCAGATAGTCAAGTCCTAGAAAAGTGAATTATTGAGGTCGAGGGTCTGGGGGCCCCAGTTCTAGGAGTAACAGATTGGGGCATAATGACACACAGAAATTGCACCGATCTCAGAGCTAGAAACGGAAGACAAGAAATTATGGTGGATCAAGAAGAAATCTATGCGGGTGTAGGCAAGTTGGGACGGGTAATAGGTGTAGTCCTTGGTGGATGGGTGATGCACACGCCAGACATCAATGAGTTGATGAAGATGGAGACATTTCTTTAAACCTTTAAGGGTAGCATAAGACACATGAGAAGAGGCCCTGGAAGAATCCAGGAGCGGGTCCAAAACAAGGTTAGAGTCTCTGCCCAATAGCAACAGACCTTCACTAAAGTTAGAAATTTGTGCCAGTACACGTTCTAGGAATGTGATCTGCCCCTGATTTAGCAGGTATAGGTTGACCAGGGTAACCGCTTGATCCCCCAAAGTACCTTTTAGACTAGAGGTGCACTGAAATAGAAATGTAAAAAACGAAATAAAAATTGTCAGGCAGAAACTGAAAATGTTTTTATTTATTTTTTATAAACTTTTTAATTTTTTTTGTATATTCATTTTTAATTATTTTTGTTTTTTACTTTACTTTTAGGGGCTTCAGGGGAAATATTAGGGGTCTAAACAGACCCCTGATATTTCCCTTTTAAAATAGAAAGAGATTGAGAACACAGAGTCCTCAATCTCTTTTTCTGCATCCTCTGTTATCAATGAACAGGAATGCTCTGAGTGTTCCTGTTCATTGATGACATGAGGACAGAATGTTTACTATAACTACAACTATGAATGAACATGAGATGATGTAGATCACTCCCATTCATTCATAATTGAGGCCATACCATATGCTCAACTATCTACAAACATTCAGCGATCGCTGAGTGTTTGCTCTCCTCTCTAACACGCTGTCACAGGAGGCTGAGCGAGCGGTGCGGGAGGAGAGCTCAGCCCCCAGTGACAGCGTGGGCTGTCTCCGCCCCAAACCCGTCTAATCAGGTAAACGTGGCAAAAAAACCTGTAACTGGCTAAAATATTAAAACATCAGGCACAGCTTAGAAAAAAATATGTAATAACCAAGCAGGAGGAAGGCAACATGAGATCTTCATACAATCAGAAAATAATGACAGCAAGTGAGAGTATTAGCGGGGGATTAACATAAATAGAAAAAGTGAAGCTGGCCCTCCCAGATAGACCTATAATCATGTAGGTCTAAGCAAGGTGTCCAGCATCAAAGGAATGGTAAAGGAACAACCCCCGCACCAGATCAAAAAGAACCAACTCCAGGGGCCGCTCCCCACCCCAACACTTATGCAAAGGCGTGACCATTGCATAACCATGAGCCGACTTGCTCGGAAGGAACCCAGAGGAGTCTGCCTGCACCCAAAAGCGCACAAGGTGAGTAAGTAATAAAATAAGAGGGTGAAGGCAATGCATGGGGAGATATGCAAGTAAAGCAGATCCACCCAGGAGGAGCAATTGACTTAGAGGCAATGATTACACAGTGGAATGGCAGAACGAAACGATTACACAGTGGGACCCCAGACCAAAGTCCACAGAGCATATAAATAAACCATCTCTATGGGAAATCTATGGTAAAGGTACAATAGCGAGCGTGGAGCACCCCCAGTCCAAACAGAGCGTTGGCTATAACGAGTTTCCAGCAGTTAAAGCAGAAACTCACAGAACCACTGAGCATCAGAAAGTTAGGTGGATCGGTAAGGTCTGAAAACGGGTGCAACCATCATTGTTTGTGATCAGCTGGAAGGTTGGGGACAGTGATCTTCTGCGGGGCTCTCTCCTCTAATGGTAAGGCAAAGGACCCGGGGTAGGAGGAAGATCCATAGTCAGCCAAGCCGGGACATCAAAGAACGGGAAGAAAGCTGACAGTTGATCCAGTTGTTGGATCATTAATGTAGCACCATTCCTGTGGACTATAAGCGAAAAAGAATAATCCCAGGAGTATGTCCCGCCAGCATCACAGATTACAGCCAGTAGTGGGCGTTAGTCTCATAATCAGGATTCTGCGTGACATCCGGAAGCCGAGTCAGACACCCCATCAAACACGGGGTCTTTCTGCCAGGCCTTATGCACGATATCCTCTTTCAGGGTGTAAAATTAACCCGGAAAAGGACATCCCTAGGCGAGGAACCCAGGCATTTACACGGTGGACTCTATCCAACTCAATGGGTGATGAATCCGATACTTATCCATCATGCCATACCATCGGGCAGGCATGTAATTGGCCCCACATGTATTATGCAGCAGAACAACCCCAAACATACAGCCAATGTCATTAAGAATTATCTTCAGTGTAAAGGAGTCCTGGAGGTGATGGTTTGAGCCCCAAACTCAACATCTAGTCTGTCTGAGATTACTTGAAGACAAGGATTTGAGGCAGCCTACATCCATCCAGAAGATCTGTGGTTAGTTCACCATGATGTCTGGAACAACCTACTTGCTGACTTCCTTCAAAAACTATGTGCAAGTGTACCTAGAAGAATTGATGCTGTTTTGAAGGCAAAGGGTGGTCACGCCAAATATGGATTTGATTAGGATTTCTCTTCTGTTAATTTTTCTTTCAATTTTGTTAATCAACATAAACTATTAATTTTTTTTTCTTCTCTGAATTAATTCTTAACAGCATTTTTTTCGCACATGCCTAGTACCAATATTTTGTCTCCCTTATAGACACTCCCTGGATTCTCACGATAGTAATGCTTAAGCCACCTTTTAAACCTCTCGGATATCTCTCTGAATTGGTGGCCTTGACCTGTAAAGAGCCCTTTTCTGGTTATTCACAAAGTTAAGGTCCCCATTAGAGGCAGCTCGTTTCTGGTTCCATTATCACTAGGTGGATTCAGTGAACTATGACTCAGGACTAGGAATTGAAGGGTAAAGTTCCCCTATTCTGCTTAATGCTTGCTTCACTCACAGTGAGTGCTTGTGTCGTCCAACATCAGGCTTTGGTATCCCAAATCTGTAAGGCTGCCACCTGGTCCTGTTCATACTTTTTGCCCAAAGTTTACTAGGTTTACAGGCCTCTGTGAATGCTAGCTGCAAAGTGCTTCAGACAGGCCATTGTCTAAGTGTATGGTCTCAACAATCAGATTTTACCCTTTCCTGTCAAGCTGACTCTACTTGATTTGTTAGTACTTCCCAGATTTGCAAGGCTGCCACCTGGTCTTTTCACATGTTTTGTGAGGTGTACATTGCGGCCTCATCTGATGTCACTTTAGATACAAGGTCCTTCAGGCAGCTCTTTTGAGCTGCAGGCAGTCCTCAATTCTGTTTTTCCGGGGCCTGTTAGCCTTTGTGGCGTTGCCCTCCCCTCAGTTGGACTGCTTTAGGGTGTCACAAAGACAAGACTTCCTTTTTTCCCCAATATAGACGAAAAGAAATATTGGATTTTTTTTCCAACTCACCGTAAAATCATTTTCAAGTCTCAACCCCATGTGTCTGATCATGCTCTCTGTACTGCTGTGCTGAAAAAAAAAAACTGCATCATGCTGTTAGTCGGAAGGATTATACTGCACTGGCATACAGTTTTTATGTTTGCCGGTGTCCAGTCCTCTTGTCATTGGCAGTATAACCTGAAGGTGAAAGACTTCCTGTGTCCCCTCAATGGACTCCTAGAAAAGGATTTTACAGTGAGTGCAAAAATTAACCAGTTGACATCCGCGGTGTTAAACCCCCTTCCCATCCAGGCCACGGTTAATAGAGCATTCCATGAGGGGAATTTATCAAAACTGGTTGCCATGCACAGCTGCACCAGATTTTGTCTGCTCCAATCAGCGTCTCTTTCATTTTCAAATCTTAACTGAACAAACTGAAGAGAGAAGCTGATTGGGTGCCATGGGCAACTGCTCCAGATTTTGTCTGCTCCAGTTTTGATAAATTCCCTTCCGTGTGTTTACATATTTATTCTAAATATTACGGTATTCTATTTTTCAATATATTGTTACAAATCGATTCCAATTTGTAGTCTCATTTGTGCAACATTTTTGTTCTGAGATAAAGTTTTAAAAATATGAGATAAAGACTTTGTGTGTGAAGTCCAAGTGGAGACATTTCGAGAACAGCTTATCTTTAGTTTTTATGTATGCCGTTTGTCACAGTACAGACAGTGCAACAGCACCCAACCAATAAGCCATCCCATATATACCTCATGGTGACTATTACTTTGATTGGATGCAGCAGCAAAATTGCATCAATCCAGTAAGCAAGGGATCAAAGCAATCCATTCTAAGGACTGGCGAGGAGCAGTTTTTGTTTGGTAGAACAAGCAAATGTTGCAATCTGCAGGACTTGCAGGGTTGTGTATAGGATTGCACATTTTACAGAATTCTGTTTTAAAATTGCTTCTATTCTTAAATACCGTTGTATATTTTTCACATTTCATTTGGCTTGGACTGCACTTCTGATTCACCAGAGATTTTATAGTTTTAATTTTATTTTCTTCCTTGATGCTCAAGTTGAAAATTATTTTTTGGTCAACAGATTGTTTTCACCAATTTTATATTGTTTCAATGTTTTAAGAAATATAACCATTTGTTAACCTTTTCAATGCAGGCTAATCCAAGTGTTTCACATGTGAGTAATCACTTGGCTGCAGCACCACCTTTGCCTACTCCAGCAGTAGCCCAAGGAGGGGTAGTTGGGACAGCAGTTGCACCAAGTTCTGCTAGTGTGGCTGCATCAGTTCATAGCAAAAACCCATATGTTTCAGTAAAGCCTGCTCTTTGGAAGGAAACTGTAACAGTGGAAGCCAGTGCAGATAGCTCCAAGAAGGAAAAGGTATATTCATTTTTCATTCCAAGTCTTGTGTGTTGTAACAATATGCCCTTTAAAATGTAATTGTATCTTTTGTGCAACTACATTTTGACTAGAACACCAAGCTCTCCCTTTCCCGCACACTAGTCAACATCTCAACCAAACCCACACATACATGCCACACTCTATTTCATCCCATGAAAAGTGTGTGCTACGTTATCCCACTGGAGATTATAAGACTGGGGGCAAGGGGGGGGGGGGGTGGATTGGTCAAAGTGTAAGTGCACTAAAGGTGCATATAACTATGCCAATGTAAAATGTATCTAGGTGCATTTAGGGCAACTATAGTTTAAACATTTTCTATGGCAGAATTATTACATATGAGTAGAATATGGCGATAGAAAAAAAATTCCCTAAATGTGTTTAAAATAACAGGCAGATTCAGAGAGGACTAAGGTAATGTGTAGATATCGGGTACTTGGATACTAGCATTTGGTGGTTCAAGCCTGTAATATCACTTCGGGCAGTGGTGTATCTGAAGTGGTGTAACCCTGTTCCTAACGGCCATGTCCATGCCAATCCGAACCCCCTAGGCCTACTTTTCCCAGGTCCATCTTGGTACTCCAGACCCATGTGGAGGGGTGCAGAGACCAGGCAGGAGCTGGTGCTGCAGTTTGCTGGTGGCTGGAGCAGACTGGGGTGGACAATTGGGCACTCCAGTGTGTGGACCTTTCATTACTCCTTTCGTATTCTGGAGCGCACGAGTACCCGTGAGCGGCCCTTTACTATTATGGTAGACATTAAGCAGAAGAGCTCTGAGAGTAAGGCGCTTTCAAGCTCCACAGTGATCCAGGGATGTGGGAAGGGGATTAACAGAAGTTGCCTCAGGGACCCTGCTTTAGATTGTTAGCCTTCGCTTAGCCTCACTGCCCCCTCTAATGCATTTATTGACCCTTTATTGTGAACCTCCATCTTGGCAAAGAGAAATTTGCAGCCTCTGTCGGTTTTTATGGGACATATTTCTGCTATGTTGAAATTGTGTGGCCGCAGAGGGCACAGTGCAGTCCACCCTCTTTTTCACCACCTTATTTGCTGTTGAACACTGGCATGGCTAGCGCTCTCCTGCCCAATGAAGAGGAATAGGTGGTGGTTAGTACCTCCTCAGGCTGACATTTCTTCAAAGGAGTTACTACCTTTTGGTGATTCTGTCGCAGTATGACACAATTTCAGTGCTCATTGATGAGGTGCAAGAGCGTCTAACCATTGACCAACTTGTTCAAGCTCATCCTAAGGTCACCCCTGTATGGGATCTCTTAAGAAAATGAGGCCCATTAAGACCTTTCCAACGCACTCCTTGGTAGAGAAAGTGCTATATGTGGATTGGCCACATCACTCCATCAAAGCAGTTTGCGCAGCAGTACCCACTGGACAAGGCATTTATCAAAGTGGGCAATGCCAGAGGATAATGCTGCTTTTTCTTGTCATAAGTTCGTAACTATACCGGTGGATACATTGAACAAGCTCTTTGATGGCTTGCTTAGGGCTTCCCTCGCCCTAATTAGGCCTACTTTGCAGCCAGGATTTCTGGTTGTGTTAAACCAAAAATTAAGTTGTTTTTTTGTTTTTTTTAATCTGTATGTTAGTAGCTGGAGTAACTCTCAGGTTATGAGCCATATCTTGAATCATAATGTCATGTCCTGTATTGATTTATCATGTATTTGATGCCCCATCTCCAGACTAGGACCACAGCAGTGTTTTTGGATTGAAGATAACGTATCTCCAGCTTTTCATTTTATGAGTGTTCTAATTAGGACAAATGATTCAGCTTCCAGAGATCAGTTTCTTCAAAAAAGCAAACATGCTAGCTGTTCTAGTCCTAGGTAGGGGGGTGGTGCAAAATGCATATACATATCCTGAATGTCCACTTGCTGTCCTAATATGCTGGGTAAAGTGATGAATGATATATAAGGGTTTGTAGGAGAGTATGCAGAATTTTCCTGAGCAGTGATATTCTGGTCCCTGCAAAGTTGGTATGTTTCATCGTTGGAGCCAAACACTAATTGCATCAGGTTAACTTTTAGGCTAAAATGTTTATGAATAGAGTATTTTTTTTATAAATAGTTTTTCTTTTAATTTAACACTGTAATTTATTGCATTGTGTCAAATGTGTATTTTTTTCCCCTTCTAGAAAATTCTAATTCAGGAGCGAGCAGCACACGAAGTGAAAGTGGCTATAAAACAATATTATCAAAATAAAGATATCACAAAAGATGAATATAAGGAGATTGTGAAGAAAGCTGTTGACAAGGTAAGCAAAGTGCATATTTTGAATGTTGAATGTTACAATTAGATTAGACCAATTCCAGACAAATATATTCAGTGAGCTAGCTATGATATTAAGAGGTGCACAAAGCTCCATAGAGCGTCAGCAGGAGAGCAGAAAGTGTACATCCTAAGGCCTGTGTTGTAGAACTTCCCCCTGTTTCTTCCTGTAATCACATTGATCATTTTAAGACATGTTTAAGGGTGGGCTCACAGCATAGCATTGTGTTAATTGCACAGTTTGTTGTGTTTAACTGTGTTAAAGTACAGGAGATGTGTTGGCATTCATTTGAATGGTACCCCAAGAGTACCTCCTGCTGCAATGTACCCAACTGCACTGCAACACGCTGTACCGCAACGTTGTTCCTGGTGTGACATATTGGCATGCTGGCGGTGGGAGGAGCCTCAGCACCATTTTAACTTTGGTGCCATTAACTGGGCTTATTACCGGAGCGCCACATTGAGTCTGTGCAGCCTCCTTCCAATTCACAATCCACTGTGCATACCAATTTACAGAGTTTATGCAGATCTTTGTTTCCTGCCGTCTCCCCTTCATCTGCACCATCACTTAAATACACTGGACCTATTTTGGGCTCCCTGGAGCCTCCAGTGAGTCAGTCAGATTATATTAACCATTCCTGCTTCCGCAGGTACTTGTGAGTACTCGGATACACTTGGATACAGTAGTATGGCAGACCTGTAAGCAGAAGGGCACCGGTCCCATGGGTCTTGCTGGCTTATGATCCAGTAACCGTTCAGGAGTGGGGCAATGTGCCTTCTAAATGCCCTGGGACAAATGGTCCTGATTGTTCCGGGAGGGGAGCGGAGTCCCAGCTACCCTCAGAGGTGGTTATAGATAACTATGGTTGCTTCCTCCTCTGGATTTATGTGAAAGATTTCAGACAGTGGCAGAAAATGTATCTAGATACAAACATGTTAATGGAATCAGAATGCAGGGGCCCCAAGTGTGCATCAATGCCATTTCCTCCAGAGTCTATCTCTGATTTTCAAGTAGCTGCAACTTTGAAATAATTGAAGGGTACCTTTGTTTGACTTGGTACGTGAAGAGTTTGTCTGCTGACAAAACGGCAAAAGTTTATGGTCCTTTTTAACACAATACGCACAAGCCTTGACCTGGAACAACCTACATCAAACGTGCCTTAGGTCGCCAGCCCCAACTTGTTAAAACTTTTCCAGGGCATTCACTGTTACAGCCTGTTTTGCACTGTGATTGGCCTATTCTGGAGAAAATCTTTGCTCTCCCAAGTGTTTTGCCCAGCAATATCCTATTGAGGAGAGGGTCATCACTAGTGGATCTTGTGGATTAACTGTCCTAGACCTTTGAGGGTCCCTGTGGAGGACATTTTAGCGTCCACAGTAATACTGTGGACAAGAGACTGGAAGCCCTTTGTAAAGCTTTATTTACCTTACATGCCCTTCCATTGCAACCACATTCCTTTGCCAGACCTTAGCTGTCTTGTCCAAGGATATGTCTCGGAATCCAAGGTCTGTCCTAAATGATCCCTCTGTCCTACCAACAGTTGTCGCTCATGCCTGTGACCCTTTTTTTTTTTTGCTGTGTTAATGGGGTGGTGAATATCATTTGCCTGATGCCCAGGATCTGCCTTCAGTACGCACGCGGAAGACCCTTTGGCTCAAATTTTGATCTGTGGAACAACAGTGTAAGAAATGTCTTCTGCACACACCCTTTGATGGAGAATGCCTTTTTTGGCAAATCCCTAGGCCCCTTTTATCAAGGATAAAACCTACCATTAAAATATTTTGGGGAGTAAACAAGTCCCTCCCCTCTGTTCTTATGATCTACTCAAGTTTTTTTTTTACAAACCTGAGGTATGATGGGAGTTAAACTAGGCTTCCCTTACAGCTTTTGCTTGCCACAGTCCAGTCTCCTGAAGGCAGCAGCATAACTAATGTTCCTGAATTGCATCACATGTCCCATACTGTAAAATAATTTTCATGGAATACATGAAGTTAACTTGTTTGCTGTAGATAATCTAAAATGCGTCCCATTTATAATATAAATTACCATTGTGGACCAAAGCAGTACAAAGTTTTTTACAAATTTTATTTATGTATGCAAAAAAATAAAGACAAACGCTTAAATATTGTTAAAAGAAAACCCTAGCAGAAAGGTAATAGCAAAGGGGGTGAAGGAGTTAATTAGAGCCAATTTAGGTTCACCAAGTGTTAGTAAGTGGCCTATTTTGTAACACATTCAATTCTTTTTAAAAAAACTAGCTTATTAGCGTTTTCATTTTTACCTTTTTAAGGGGCCTAAATACTTGTTCTAAATTTCTAAAGACTTAACTGCAGATTCTATTAGAATAATACTTAATGGTCTTGTTTTTTTGTTTTTAAAGGTGTGTCACAGTAAAAGTGGAGAAGTTGATTCAGCTAAAGTGGCAAATCTTGTGAAGGCTTATGTGGACAAGTACAAACACTCTCGCAAAAAGGGGCCAGAGGACAGACTTTGAGCTACAGATCATCACTGGGGTCATACAAAGGACTGCGACAGTAATTGTCAAAGTGCAATTTCAGTGTCTTGATAGAATTGTTCACAACTGTGATTGATTGAAATCGGGTTTTGATACAATTATAATTTTCAATGTATGATTGATTACATTTAGAGGTCCCCTTCTTATGTTGTTTTCCCCCCAAAGCATACTTAATGGATTTTTGTTTTTACTAGAACAAACATGGTTAATAATGATGTACAGCATTTTGACTTAATCAATTATGTGTGTAATATTAGAGATGTCATTCTCAATACTTGGCTACCAGCTGGGTGCTGTGTGTACAGTATATGGAATCTGTTAGTTAAAATTCTTATCATGAGAATCTTTGATTGTGTTTTTTCTTCTAATCATAGTGAGATGTTTTTTCTTGGCCTGTTTCTAGTCTAACTGGACGCACTGGCCTTTCAATGTAGCCATAAAGATGTATGTTCCTCGATAGTCTGTTTAGAATACCCGTACGCTACTACTGCAACATTTGTGTCCAACAAATATATATTTTTCTAAGATGGACACCAACTATGGCAACACCAAATAAATATCATGCTGCTTGTCTGCTTTGTCATTTTCCTCGTGCAATGCAATTTCTCTTTCTGAAAGCAAATGATCACGTCTTATGCAGTATGTCCAAAAGAAAATGTATAAAGCGTTAATAAAGCAGTGCAGATTCCAGTATGTAAGTGAGCTGACTGAAGTGACGGGAAATCGGTTTGCTATGTTATTGTGATAGGTCTTACTCGGTAAGCAATACAAATACTATGATGGGTTACAGCAATCCTAATCGACATAGTAAAGAATATCACCAACATGAAGCTGTGGGATGGTTTGTTAAAGTAGAAGGAAGGGCTAAAACTGTTAACCCTTTTGCTGCCAGTGGTTTTGCACACATTCTAATCCAGGCCTGAAAAATTACTTAACCCGCCACAATTATATATTTTCTGAAAGCAGAGACACTGTAGAATAAAATGGTGGCAGTTGCATTTTTTTGTCACATCTTAACGCAAAGCTTCATCAAAATTCCAGTAAAAAAAAAAATGCACAAGTTAAGTTTTTAGTTTACAAAAACACAACATAATACCCATATTTTTTATTTTTTTATATATAATAAGATAAGGTTGTTCTGAGTAGTTACACAACATGACAAACTTAAAATTGTGTGCCCCTGAAACGGAAAAATATAAGGTACCCTAAATTGTCCATATGCAACTCTTTAAAAGCATGTAGAGGTCATCAGTTTAGAGGGGGGGAGTTCCTCCCAACTCTAATACCCCCCCCCCAAACCACACACACGCACGCCCTCTATGTGATGGCACGTTGGAGGTGACAGGTATTCTTATGGACTTCAAAAGAAGCTGATCAAGCACTTCTCAGCCTTTTGGCTAAGATCAAGTGTAGTATCTGTTCTTATCAGTTCTAGAGGGGAAAAGCATGGACTGTCCTTGGGACGGACTGTTGCTTAGTACCCTCAGGAGTAAAGGTAGGTGCTCGAGGCGACTCCTTTTTAGAAGAGGGGGGAGTTGCCTCAGCACTATTGCCTACTGACTGAATGGATGCGAGGGTTCGGGGTGGGGGGTGGCGGCAGCAGAAGCCCGTGGTGTTGTGCCCCCTGGGGTGGCATCCCAGGGGGTGCTCAGAAAGTCACATGGGTATAGCAGGTTTTTGTCTTTATCTTCAAAAAGAGTCAGTAAAGGGGGGTGTGGCCGGATGGCGAGCTGAGCGGCCGAAGTGGAGTTCTGGTGTTAGATCGGGTCCAAGGTGCCAGCAACAGCACTCACCGATCGTTGCAGCACTATCCTATCAGCCACTGACCTAGCAGTCGTTGTGCTGGGGGAAACGGCCAAAAAAGTCTGGTCCGTGGAGACTTGACAGACTTTTTCTCTGTGGTCAGCACGTCCCGCAGCCAAGATGGTACCGTTACCTCACAAGGCGCTGCCGCTATGACAGCAAGGGCAGGCCGCTCGACCTCACAGACCTCCTCTGCAAAGTCTAATACAGCTATCGGAAGGCAGCTCTGACTCCGCCCAGTTAAGCACAGAAAACAGAAAGGAACCCATTCTGCACTGGGTAAGCAGCCATCTTATGTTGCCTCAGATGAAGGCAAAGGAGATTCTATTGATGCTTTTCCCACTACAGATCAACCAATTGTTGATACCACATTAAAAAGCATGTTAGTCTCTCTGCACAATGATATGTCCTCTCTTATAAAGCAGGTCCAAAAAAAAAAAAAGATATGAATGAACTGGGAGAATGTGTCAGCCATGTTGAAAACAAAATGGGAGATTATACAATCGCATATAATGAATTAGTGGATGCCCACTCTGGCATCACGGCTGATATGCAAGCTATGTCTCTGAAGATCGCAGATCTTGAGGGTAGGTCTCGTCAAAACAATATTAAACTTGGAGGAGTAGCTGAAGTAATCGCTGCACCCCAACTGGGGGATTACGTACAGAAATTCATCAAAACCCTGCTGCCAGACGTTTCGGAGTATGAGGTAATTGTTGACAGGGCTCATCACTTACCTAAGACCCCATTCACACTGAGCGACATGGAAATCGCGCAACATCTTCCTATTGGGCTGTATGCAATCAGGAGCAATATCGCTCTAAAAAAGGGTCATGTAGGAGTGACAAGCTACCAGCGACGAGCTACAAGCGATATTGAGCGACGAGATGTGAACAGCTACATTGAAATGTATTGGTGAAGCTACATAGAGCGATATAGCGTGGAAATATGAGCGATATCGCTGCAAAAATCGCTCAATGTGAATGGGGCCTAAGCCTGCGTATCTGCCTGATAAACTACTTAGAGATGTAATAGCCCGCATCAAAGATAAATTGATGACTGCAGTGAGACGCCACTCACCACTACCTGAACCATACTCAGGAATCACAGTATATGCAGATCTATCTCAAGCCACTATCTTGGCACGTAGGAAACCAAATACCCTCACCAAGGCGCTCCGAAAACATCAGATTGCTTACAGATGGGGCCATCCCACCAAACTACTGGTGACGAAAAATGGAAAGATTCATCCGATATCCTTGACCGACGGGCTTGCAGTCCTCAGGGCCTGGGGAATACAACCAGAAGATGATTCTATGGAAGCTGCAGTGGATCCCAAAGTGGTACCTAACAAACACCTGAAAGTAATGTTTGCTCACCTTTGGTTCTTAAAGTGCGCAAATCGTGGAGACGGAGTCTCACAATGTAGCAAGATTTGCCTTGGACCGTTCTATAGTTGGAGTTTCACTCTCCCCTGACGTTTCATGCAGCTGAGTTCTGCTTCAAATGGTCACGGATGCGACCGTTTAATTTGTCATAGTTTTTTTAATGTTTTTTGTTGTATTAACTGTTTTATTATCTCTCAAGGTTTTTTCTCTCAAAAACAGCAAGATGTTTTCCGCAAGCTTTGTTACACGAACCATGGACTTCCTACATGTATCATCCTAAGGGTATAATTTTTTCAACTGTCAACCGTAGTCATTTGTAATGAGTTTAAAGTATGTCACATCTTCCCCCAGAGTCACTTTGGGTATGCCCAGAGGCTGGAACGTAAAATGCTGCACTATCTGCCTTTTTTTGTGCTAGGTACAGCAGTTATGACTATTTATGATGGGAATTAAAATTCTCTCTATTAATGCCAAAGGCCTTAATAGCCCTCAAAAACGCTCCCATCTCTTGACTGAGGCCAGACAGCACGGTAGCGACATAGGTTGTGTACAGGAGACAGATGGTCCACCTAAGATTTCTCATAAGGCTTTTCTCCATATTTTTACAGCCAATGCCCTAAAAAAAAGAAGAGAGGGGTACTTATAGTAATTCGGGACAGCATTTCATTTGTACTACATCAATCTATTCTGGATCCAAATGATAGATTTATTATACTGGTATGCGAATTAAATTCCTCTTGGTATACACTGGTTAATCTATATGCCCCAAATGTGAAACAACTCCCCTTTCTTAGACGTCTTATACGTCAAATTCGTAAAATCCAAAGGGATCCAGTCCTCTTATGTGGAGATTTTAATTTAGCACCTGATCCCACATTGGATGTCTCTTCACCAAGGGGTCCCTCGAGACCCAACATTTCTAAATTGCTACATCAGGAGGACTTATACGATATATGGAGGTGCCTTTATCCGATGGAAAGAGTACACTTTTTACTCTAATCCCCACAAATCCTACTCACATATAGATCTTTTCATCGCTGATAAATGGACATTACAACGGGTTAGTGGGGCTAAAATACACAATATCACATGACCACGCCCCTATTACACTACATCTGGAAGATAGGAGGCCCCAGGGTAAACCAACAGTATGGAGAAACAATGTCCATCCGTCAGGAACATATATCCTCTGAAATGAAGACGTTCTTTGATATCAATGCCTCTGATGAACTTGGCCCTTTCACCCTTTGGTGTTCCCATGAAGCGTATATCAGGGGTATTCTAATTCGCTTGGGGGCTAGAGAAAAGAAAACACAGCAATACAATTCTATACTAGACCGCATAAAAACGCTCGAACACGCACATAAACAAACCTTAGACAACTCTACTCTTCAAGATCTCCATCAAGCCCACCAAGATCTTAAACTCTTATTGATTGCTGACTATGACTTTAAAATGGCCAGACTTAGAGCTAGCTACCCATTATTATTATGGGAATAGAGTGGGTAAATTACTAGCGTCAAACTCAAACATAGACAACTACAAACCAGGATCCCTCTCCTATATCATCCTTACACTAACCGACCTCTCAAGAAATTGCCAACGCCATAGCAGATTACTATCAATCTCTTTATAATCTGAAAAATGACCCATCTACTCGGCAACCCTCTTTACAAACTATCAATAACTTTCTTAAAGTTGTAAAATTCCCTAAATTATCTACAGATGAAATTGATATATTATCCTCCCCTTTTACTGAATCGGAAGTTAAAAAAAGCTATTCACGATCTCCCGCAGAATAAAGTCCCGGGAGAGGATGGGTTCCCTTCTGAGTATTACAAACACTTCCAAGACTTATTGATCCCCCATCTTACAAACATCTGCAACAGTGCGGCTGTCTCGGGTTCTTTTCCCCGTGAAATGCTGCAAGCTATTGTTATCACGCTACCTAAACAGGGAAAAGATCAGACACCCTAAACATTTTCGCTCCATATCTCTCATCAACACAGACATAAAACTATGTTAAAATGATTGCTAATAGATTGCTACCTTTAACAAATAAATTGATACACCCAGACCAAGTAGGATTTGTTAGAGGGCGACAAGCTCCTGATGGTACTAGACGTATGGTTAACCTTATAGCACTAGCAAACAAACATAGATTGCCTTCTCTGCTTCTTACTTTAGATGCTGAGAAGGCATTCGATCGTGTGCATTGGGAGTATATGTTCCAAACTCTATACTCTAACCACTCCGCACAAGTTCTATCCTCTGGCATGCTATTGCATTCCTTCGAAATCTCAAATGGGACGAGACAGGGTTGCCCACAATCACCTATCTTGTTTTCACTACTATTGGAACCATTAGCTATAACAATTAGAAGCAACCCTAA